GCTGCTTTTCGCAGAAACTTGTACCATCCCACCCTACTCTCAACCTAGCAGACACCAACCGGACCCTGAAGGCATGTGCTCCAGAGCCGAGGGCCTTGTCCAGAAGGCAAACCTGCCGAAGGCCCTGGTGGCGTTACAAGCTACCCCACTTGCAGAACAATTGCCTGCGACACTCGCAACGCTTCGCGCTAAACACCCAGACTCAGTGGTGGGCATACCGGGATGGGTTACCGGATATAGTTCGCTGGCTATCGCGGCGGACAAGTTCCGCAAAGTATTAGCTAAGTGCCCGAACGGAATTGGTGCTGGACCATCTGGTACGTGCTTTGAACATCTGCGAGACCCCGCGCTTCTAAACGGGGAAGTTTTCACGCTCCTACATCAAGTTGTCAACACGTTGCTGAGCACCTACCTTAGCAATCCGCTGCAAGACCTGCTACTCCCGTCCAGACTCATAGCATTGGAGAAGGCAGGAGGAGGAGTTCGGCCGATAGCCATAGGAGAGTCGATCTTGAGAATAGCTGCGAAGGCAGTGCTGCGGAAGCTCTCAGCCGACATCCGGCGATTCTTTCTACCTGTGCAATTTGGCGTGGCGGTACCTGGTGGAGCAGAAATGATAGTACATGCTACACGGTCCCTCCTGTCCCAGCGCCCCAAGCGGATCTCCATACAACTGGATGTCGAAAACGCGTTCAACTCGGTCGAGCGGGAAAGCTTCTTCTCATCCCTCAAATGGACGACACTAGTTGATCTGCTGCCGTTTGTCCGCACCCTGTATGGCTCCCCATCGCGGCTACTCTTGGATGTAGGGTTCGAGGAGAGACACATTGATAGCGCAAGGGGCGTTTGGCAAGGAGACCCACTGGGACCGATGCTCTTCGCGGCGGCAATTCAACCAGCACTCCTGAAAGCGGCGGTGATGTGCCCTACAACGGTGGTGATGGCGTACGCTGACGACATCACCATCGTGGGGGACCCGGCAGAGGCGATCCGGGGAGTAGAGGTTATAATAGAGGGGCTTAAAAAATGTGGGTTATGGTGCAACCTGGAGAAATCAAGCGCATGGTGCCTAGCTGGGTTCTCAGATGAATTACCGGAGGGGCTTGTCGTAGCAATCGATGGCATCCGCGTGCTGGGGAGCTCGGTGGGCACTAGAGACTATGGGAGAAGATTCTTACGAGCAAGTCTGAGCGCGGTGGCATCACCACACGCACTCCTGAGACCAATCAGCAAACCGCACCCACAGCACACACTCCTGCTGCTCTCGCGCTGCGTGTCAAGGCGGATTTTGTACATGCTGAGAACTACCCCGGCTGACACACTGCCACTGGAGGAATGGAGGGATTGGAGCAAGGAGCAGCTGTGGACGGCGTTGAAGGCGGCACGGATGTACGCCCCGGCGAGTGAACTGGAGCAGAGCCTGGTCTGGCGCCAAGCAACGCTACCGGTGTGCCTCGGGGGCCTGGGGCTGATAGACCCCCTTTCTGAGGCACCGGCAGCGTACCTCGCTTCCCTACACGCGGCGAACACCCTCCTCCGACACACGGCGATGGCGGCAGACAACCCCCTGCATCAGGTGACAGACTTGGTTTCGCTAATGGGGTGAGGTATGGAGGCAGCGGCAGGAGGGGCGACGCTGGAAGACCTCCGGAACCGGATCCCAGAGCAAGCTCGGGAAGTCCTGAAGGCGCACCACCAGAAGGGGGAAATGAAGGGACATCTACAGCTGATCCTTTCAAAGCACATTAACCTGGACAGGGCGGCCGAGCTCGTGGGAGACACAAGGGCGGACAAGCCCGGAGTCGACAATGGTCACGTGATCCGACTCATCAGCTTGTAGGGAGTGGGGGCAGGAGACTGGTTGCACGCCATCCCATTCCCACAAGAGGTGACCTCACTTTCTCACCTGGCCAGTTTGCAGTGGCGCTCGGTTTTCGGCTGGGACTGCCCCTAGCAGTTACAGAAAAGTGCCCCTGCAAGGGGAAACGGTCGGACATCAGGGATAACAGCCTACCGAACCACCTGCTGCGGTGTGCCGACGGAGGAGATAGGACGAATACCCACAACGCCCTGGTGTATGCGGCACTGCGCATGGCTAAGGAAGCGGACTACACAACCTTGCACGAGTCGGCGGCCTTCTTGCCTATAACCAACCAAAAGCAAGCGGACCTGGTGATTCGCGACAAGGAGTCCATCGAGACCTACGTCACTGATGTGACGGTCACGGACCCTGTCCTGCAGCGGCGTGACAAAAGGGTAGTCAAGCCACCGGGGTGGGCGGCAGAGGCTGCAGCCAGGGTGAAGCGGGGCCTGTTATGAGGGTTGCCCGGGCTTTGTAGGGGTGTTCGGTTTGGCGGTGGAAACCTACGGGGCACTGGCTAAGGATACCCAACGGTTCTTCCGCCTCCTAGGCACCCAGGCTGCGAAGAAGAAACGCAGGCAGGGTAGACTGGCTGCTGTGGCCTCCCGAATCACGGCGCATTACCGACAGCGGTGGTCGGTAATGCTCCAGCGCTGCCAAGCTAATGCCCTTATGGCCAAGTCCAGCAGGGCACTTGAGGCAGCACACCTACAGGCAGCGGCAGACCCGTGGGAACCAAGCCTCGGGGACCTGTGGCAGGTCCTCGAGGACGACCTGGCCCAGCTTCTCGACCTGGGGGAGTAAAGGGCCAGGTCAACCCCTAGTGGCCCGCCCAACCGCAGGAGGCTCTGTTTGGCTATGTAGGACAGGAGGGGATTGAGGCACCCTGTAGGAGGTTGAGTAGGTCTGCAGTGATGTAGCCATAAGGACAGGTGTGGTGACTATGCAGTCAAGAACGGGAAGCCGGCCCAACACATGCCATGTTTGTGATTATGTTCATTATAAAATTGCATGCCTAGGCCAACATGCTTGCTAGGATTGCTGTTGCCATGCCTCTACCTTTTACACACATCAATGAAGGACTGCTTGAGAGAGAGAGAGAGAGAGAGAGAGAGAGAGAGAGAGAGAGAGAGAGAGAGAGAGAGAGAGAGCCTGTTGTGGCGGCAAGGAACCCTACCCGTCAGGCTGGGGGGGCTAGGCATCATCGACCCTACCTCGGAGGCACCGGCAGCCTACATCGCGTCAGTAATGGCAGCCCACACCCTACTGCGGCAGATGAACCTGCCAGAGGCGTACCTGCTGAAGAGGGCGGTCACACGGCTCGACCATGCGTGGAGCCCTGCCCCACCTGAAGTTAACCAGCTGGCCCCACTGGAGGCAGCCCTGCCGGCTTCAGCACGAACCGCACTACAGGCGTTCAGGGAGCAGCCAGCAGGACAGGGTAACCTGCAGCTACTACTCTCCCGCCACATCTATGAGAGGCGAGCAGCGGAACTACTGGCTGACACGATCAAAGACCGCCCAGGCACATACCGCGGGCACGCCATCCGCCTCATCAGCCTACAGGGGGTGGGGGCAGGGGACTGGCTACACGCTGTGCCTTCGAGAGCTGACCTTACATTTGCCCCTGGTCAGTTCTCCTTGGCGCTGGGGTTCCGCATGGGCATGTCCATGCCGGTCACTGAGAAGTGTCCCTGCAAGAGAGAGTAATCAGACATCAACGACACGAGCCTGCCGAACCATCTCCTTAGGTGCGGGTACGGGGGCGACGTCGTTAGAACGCACAACGCGCTAGTGTTTGCAGCCCTCAGGATGGCAAGGGAAGCGGACTTCACGTGCTTCCACGAGACATCAGCTTTTTCCCCACCGATCCTCAGGAAGAGGGGAGACCTGGCGATTCGAGACAGGGAGTCAAACGAGACCTGGGTTACAGACGTGACAGTGACTGACCCTGTGCTCCAGCAGCGCGACACCAGGGCACGGAAACCACCGGGGTGGGCGGCTGAGGAGGCATCGGCTAGGAAGCACAGGGAATATGAGGATCGGCCAGACTACGTCGGCTTCTTTGGCCTCGTGGTTGAGACGTATGGGGCTCTGTCCTCGGACACACAGGAGTTCCTACGGCTACTGGCCACCTCAGCAGCCAAGAAGAAATACCGCCAGGGGAAGTTGACAATGACGACTGCACGGCTCACTGCACACTACCGGCAGCGCTGGTCTGTGATGCTGCAGCGCTCCCAGGCAACATCCTATCTGAACAAGTCAAACCTCTCTGATGAGGCAGCGTTCCCCCAGGCTGCTAGGGACCCTTGGGAACCTAGCCTGGGGGACCTCTGGCAAGTGCTGGAGGATGAGCTGGAGGTTGTGATGGCTCAGTAGGTAGGAGTGGGTGTTGGCCAGTGATGTAGCCATGGCTCGGTTGCTGCATGATTGGCCTGAATGGCCTGCCTGCCTGCACTCCTGACCGTGCTTTGCCTTGCCTTACAGTGCCCTGTCTCGCTGGTTTGCCTTGCCTCGCCTTGTCTGCTTGCCATGCCTCACCTGACCGGTTTGTCTGTGTGCAGATGTTCTGCTTGCTTCACGTTCCTGCCTTGCATAATTAGTAGCTCCAATGCCTAGGCCTGTCTAGCTCTATTCCTACCATGCCTGTACCCCTATGAACCTATCAATGAAGGACTGCTTGAGAGAGAGAGAGAGGATTAGCCTCTCCCCTTCTACCCTCTGCCCTCTGCTTTCTGCCCTCTGCCATGACTACTTAAGGCCACGGCGGCCTCTCCATCTCTCATTCTTTCAGTTAGTGCTGAAAATTTTGGTGTTGTTCGAGAGAGCGAGAGAGAGAGAGGATTAGCCTCTCCCCTTCTACCCTCTGCCCTCTGCTTTCTGCCCTCTGCTTTCTGCCCTCTGCCATGACTACTTAAGGCCACAGCGGCCTCTCCATCTCTCATTCTTTCAGTTAGTGCTGAAAATTTTGGCGCTTCGCGGCCGCCGGCGCTCGCGTGCGCGGCCTTCGGCCGCGCGTTAGGGATGGCAAGGGGAAACAACAAGCAGTCGTAGCTTAGGCAACCGATACAAACAAAGCAAGCATAGACACTTAGCAAGTAGAGGATAGAACGGGTCTATACGCGCAAGGGGGGAGCGCCTACATGCGGTCCGCCTCTACCGCAGCGAGCATTCCGCTCGTGTTCAACCACAAATGGCGGACCACAGACACGGTGGCGCCTACAACGTCAACAGGAGTACCAGGGCCTGCTACAAGCGTCCTCAGAGCCAGGGCCGAGTCAGCCAGCTGGCTGGCCGAGGTTGCTCCCGGCGAGGGCGCTACCTGCAGTGGCGTTACGAGCGCGAATAGCGCTGACGCCGCTGCATGACAATCTGCTCGCAGTTTCTGAGAGAACCTGCTCGGAGGGCTCACCGGCATGGAGTCAAATGACTCCTGGAGAATCCGCTCAAGGCTCTTCAGGGACGCCGCCAGCGACCATAAGCGGGCCAGGGTCGCCGTGGGAACTTCCTTCATCGGCGGAAGTAACGCAGACGTGCGGGCACAGTGAGACGACACAGCGAGATCACGCGGAGCAGGAAGAGGACGCGGCGGAGCAAACTGAGCCCACGGCGGCCCGCCACCAGCACCTACGAAGCCCATCCCCGCAGGCAGCGGCCGCTCTGAACGCGCCGGGGATCCAAAGGGATTGTGGGGCAGGAGCGTGGAGAGAGGGACGACGGGAGCAGCGCGAGGAGCTGATGGTAACGCCGACCCCGCACGCGAGCGACGAAGCTCCTTCTCCACGTCATCAAGCCTATCCAGAAGACGACGCTCCATTGCGGACGGTGCTGGACGCGCTTTTCCGCCGCGAGTGTCACCCCCCCGTCGCCCACGACGCGCACGCCCACTTGCGCTCGAGCGCACAGGCGACTGCGGGCGAGATGGGCCCTGCTGACGCTGGCGGCCAGGAAAACGGTCCCCGCGACGAGGGGAGTAGAGCCGTTGGCGCTTTGCAGGAGGGGGCGAACGCGGAGCTGGGGGCCGACGCCCAGGCGTCTGGCGGGCAGGCGACTGCTGGCGAGATGAACGGTGAGGGGGCGAACGATGACGAGCGGCGGTCACGGGATCGGCTTCGCGACGCCACGCGACGAGGCGAACGAGGCGACAGCGGCGAACGGGCCGCACCGTGACGATCATCGCGGCGGCTCTCCCGCTTATCGTCGCGAGCTGCCGATGAGCGACGGCGAGGCGAACGCTCCTGGTGCGCCACAGCCTCTGCGCCGGAGCGCAAGACAGACCCCGCGCGCGGGGGCTCCCGCGGTGACAAGGACCTGCCCGCGCGCGGAGCCAACTAGCGCCGCTGGTCCTCGAAGCGGCGGCGGATCTGATCAGCGGACGCCGGCGGAGCAACAGGCACGCTCGCGGCAAGGGCCGTGCAGGAGGAAACGGACGGGGAGCAGGATCGCTCTCCGCGGTGCAGTCGCGGCCAAGAGCGCCAAGGAAATCCATTGGCCAACGCTCAGACGCTCCACTGGCACACGAGGAGCCGACAAACGCCGATCTCCCAGGCGCAACAGGCGGAACCTGTGGCAGCTACCCCGCGAAGCGGACGGGGAAGCACGCGGGGGAGAGGCGGGCGACGAGGAGCGCGCGGAGGGCAGAGGAGCGCAGGCCAAGCGGGAAGGGGGACCGCCCTGCCAGTTGCCGAGCCCAATCTGGTTGGGGGAGCCGGCGGAACGAGTCACGCGCCAGTCATTCGTCAGGCGGGGGGCGAGGGGAGGAACACCAGCGCAAGCGGGGAGAAACAGGGATATCAACACAGAGGGGAGTGGAGACGATTATATACCGTCAGATCTGAGGCAACCAGACGATCCCGCCTCACCTCACGCGGAACAAGGAGAGGGGGCAAGCGCAGCAACAGGAGAGAGGAACCGGCCGCAGACAGCATCGCAGGGCTCAGCTTCCCCCGGACCAGGCACTATCGGCGTCCCAGCTGGCCTCGCGGGAGGATCTTTTCCAGATCGCGATGACTTGGGACCTTACACTCCTAACCTCCACCACCCACCTACCAATCATCCGCCGACTGCCGCCGCAGATCCTCAGCGACTACTCCACCTGTATGCTGGCTGCCCTACTTCGGATCTCCAAGCTGCCTAACTGCGCAGGAGCATGGCGGGTCCTCATGTTCCTGCCACGTCTCACGCTAAGACTTAGCCGGAGATCCAGCTCTAGATGGAAACTGCTGCGGGAACAGATGCATCTATTCCGACGTGGCCACTGGACCCAGCTGTACACTGACTACTTGGGGTCAATGCACCTGGCCGAACCACCTCAGCACCAACGTGACCCACTGGGAATCTGCTCACGTGCGAAGGGGTTGGTGAAACGGGGTAACCTGCGAAAGGCGTTAGCAGCCCTACAACCCTCGCCTAAAGCACCTGCGACAATTGCGACACTACAGCAGCTGGAATCGAAACACCCCCAACCCCAAAATGACCTGCCCGAGTGGGTGCATTCCTACACCACACCCACGCAATTCTCAACCACTCTGGAACGCTTTTCCGACGTCCTTGGAGAATGCCCCAGGGGAATTGGGGCTGGCCCATCGGGGTCAACTTTCGAACACTACCGCGATCCAGCGCTAAGTAACATCGAGGTACTAGGGCACCTCCACTCCGCCGTTACGCATCTTCTCTCGACAAATCTTTCCACTGAAGTCGCAGCACTACTTGCCCCGTCCCGCCTTATAGCCTTCGCCAAACCAGGGGGGGGGGGGTACGTCCCATTGCGATTGGAGAGTCATTGCTTAGGCTGGCGGCGAAGGTGGCGCTCTCAGATCTGCAAGGAGAAACGCGAATTTTTTTCCTACCTCTGCAATTTGGCGTGGCAGTCCCTGGAGGTGCAGAATTTGTCATCCATGCTGTCCGAGACCTCACCACGGTGCAGCCCTCCAGCCTAGTACTCCAGCTCGACATTGAGAACGCGTTCAACTCAGTAGAGAGGAGCGCGTTCTTCAACGCACTCATCGGCTCCCCACTAGCTCCCCTAATCCCCTTCACACGCTCTTTCTACGCAGCATCTTCACCACTGCTGCTGGACCCATGCTTCAATTCCACGGCACTCACCAGCGGAAGGGGAGTCAGACAGGGGGATCCCCTCGGACCTCTGTTATTCGCAGCGTCTATCCAGCAGCACCTCAGGCACGTAGCAACGGAGCACCCCGAAGTCACGGTCCTCGCTTACGCGGACGACATAACCATGATTGGACCCGCGGCGGCGACGCTGGAAGCGCTCAGGGAGCTCACGCCGCTGCTGGCACGGGACGGTCTCACCTGCAACTTTAGGAAGTCGTCGGCGTGGTCCACCGTGCCGCTAGGAGGGGACGTACTCCCCGCGGACCTTCCCCTCACCCGCGAGGGGGTGCGGGTGTTGGGAAGTCCAGTGGGGTCGCAGAGCTTCTGCTCTGATTTTGTCCGCAGCACCCTAACAGACGCGGCAGCCCCCTTGGGCTCTCTGGCGTCCATCCACCCACAACACGCCCTCCTGCTACTGTCTCGTTGCATCAGCCGCAGAGTCGGCTACCTGCTGCGCACTACCCCAGCTGACGTCTTACCGCTCTCGGAATGGCACACATGGTGCGCCGAATTACTGAACACTGCCTTGACCGCCGCCAGCATTCAACCGCCACGCCGACAAGCCGAGTTCAACTTCCTTCTCCGACAGGCAACTCTCCCAGTAGCCCTAGGCGGACTGGGCCTTACGGACCCCACAACTGAAGCAGCACCAGCCTACCTGGCATCTACAACAGAGGCGCTGCGCCTGCTCCGCTCCCTGGACTTACCGGCAACCGCGCCGCTAGGGGCCGACAGCAACGCCCTGCAGCCGTCTGCAGCGCACTCCGTGACCATCCAGGACATGGAGGGGCGACTGCCACCGCTGGCGCTACAAAACCTACGGGAGGAGCAGCAAACCCCGTCCCAGGACCAACTGCAGCGCGCCCTCTCCCAGGAAGTGCACGCGGCAAAGGCCGACGCCCTAAGAGAGGAGTCACGCGCAATACAGTCAGCCCCCGAGATGGGCCACACACTCCGCCTAGTCAGCCTGAGAGGAGAGGGAGCGGGAGCGTGGCTGCAGGCACTACCCTTGACCCCGGACCTCTGCTTCTCACCAGGACAGTTCCGAGCGGCCCTGGCCTTCCGCATGGGCATCCGACAGAATGTACCAACCGTGTGCGAGTGCGGAGAACTCGTAGCCGACTGCAGCCTACCCAACCACTTACTCCGCTGCAGCACAGGCTCCGACAGGACGCGCACACACAACCAGCTGGCCTTCGCCATGGCTAAAATGGCGAGGGAGGCGCAGCTGGTGGTATACCTGGAGAATGCGATGTACTCACCTCCGGATGACCCGAAGAAGGCAGATGTGATTGTACAAGACCCGGACAGCGGAGAGACCTGGATCACAGACACCACGATCACTGACCCTGTGCTGCAGAACCGAGACCCTACGGCCCGCAAACCCCCAGGTTGGGCTGCAAGGGAGGCACAGAAGCGGAAGGAGAGGGACTACTACCGACACACTGAACACGTGGTGTTCTG